CTGTCTGGGTTACCTCACTCAGGATGATCTTTTCTAGTTCCATCACTTGCCAGCAAATTTCATTATGCTATTGTTTTTAAGAGCCGAGAAACACTCTATTGTGTAAAAACAAAACAAACAAAAACAGGGTCTGTTGTAGCTCAGCCTGGCCTTGAATTATATGACCAAGAAAGACCTTGAACTTTTTTTCCTAAAGTTTTTTTAACATTTATTTATTTGGTTTTGGTTTTTTGAGACAGGGTTTCCTGGTAGCTATAGAGCCAGTCCTGGAACTCACTCTTGTAGACCAGGCTGGCCTTGAACTCACAGAGATCCACACGTCCCCATCACAAGCCTTCATGAAAGAAGTCAGAGTAGGAACCCAAGCCAGGAACCTGGAAGCAGGAACTGAAGCAGAGCCCGTAGAGAAGTGCTTACTGGCTTGTTCAGCGTGCTTTCTCATACAGCTCGGGAATACCTGGCCAAGGGAGGCAGCACCCACAAAGGGCTGAGCATTACCACACCAATCACTTACCAAGAAAGACTTGCCTATAGGCCGGTCTTTATGGAGGCATTTTCTCAATGAGAATCCCTCTTTCCAAATGACTCTCACTTGACAAAACAAACAAACCAACAAAAACTAGCCAGGTCGCTGTCCATAGATTGTTCCGTATGGTGCACCTGCTCCTTGTCCATCTATCAGCTAGGACCTAGTGAGTCTGATAACCACAAATCTGGTCACCTCACTTGATGTAAAAGGAAGGCAGTAGGACACTCTGTGGTTCCCAGCCTTCCTACTTGAAATATGGCAGGCAAGTTCTGTACAAGGCGAGGTCAGATGCCAGGGGATATTTGAGAGGTACACCAGACAGACCACTGAGGACAAATGATCCCCTAAAAGAGATTGGAGAGTGTACTAGTCAGGGTTCTCTAGAGGAACTGAACAGACTGTATGTATATATGTATTATGTATGTATATGTGTGCATATTAATTATATATACATATGTGTATGTATGCATTTATGTGTGTATGTGTATATATTGAATATATAGTTATCATTATATACGTAATATCAATGCATATACATTATATATAGATAAGAATCCCTAAGACAGTCAGCCTCACAGACTGAACAACTACTGGATTCTTGGCCTTTCCATTAGGAGACAGCAAAAGCTTCCTTCTTCCATGTCCTTTTATGTGGACTGCCACCAGGAGATGTGGCTCGTATTTAGGGTCTTCCCATCTCAAGTGCTTCAGATTTAGGGTGGGTCTTTATGGTGGTTAAATGAGAATGGCTCCCATAAGCATATATATTTGAATGTCTGGTTCCCAGTTAATGGAATGGTTTAGGAAGGGTTAAGAGGTGTGGCCTTGTTAGGTGTGTCACTGGGGGTGGGCTTTGGAAGTTTTCTTTCTGCTTGATACCTGTGGATCAGGTTGTAAGCTCTCAGCTACTGTTCCAGGGCCATGTCTGTCTGCCTGCCTCCCTCCATGCTCCCATCATAGACTAGGTTTCCTTTTATAAGGTGCCTTGGTCATAGTGTTTATTATTTCACGCATGTTTTTATCTATGAGTGCTCTGTCTACATGTATGCTACAGGCCAGAAGAGGGCATCAGATCCCATTACAGATGGTTGTAAACCACCATGTGGTTGTTGGGAACTTTGGGAAATCAGCCAGTGCTTTTAACTGCTGAGCCACCTCTCCAGGCCCTGGCCACCATGGTGCGTCACCACATCAAAAGAACAATAACTTAGACAGTTTTCCCACCGCAAATAATCCAATCCAGAAAACTCTCTCAAAGGTAATTCCAGATCAAGTTGACAACCAAGACTGGCCATGACAGAAAGGAAAGGAGCACCTACTTCTGCATCTTCTGAGTCTCAGTCCAGCTCGGCTGGGAGACCCTCTGGTCAGGGGTATACTTTCAATGTGAGGAGGAAGCAAAAGGCACCCAGGCCTGGGCTAGAAAAGGAGTTCCTGTCCAGTAGTAGTCCTTCCTATGCTCTGAATATTTGCCCTTAGCAGAGAGAAGCAAGTCAGCAGAACTGCTACTCTGTGGGTGGCTTATCACTCAACTGACAATCTTTTTTTTTTTTTTTTCAAGACATGGTTTCTCTGAGTCACTTCAGAGCCTATCCTGGAACTTGCTCTATAGACCAGACTGGCCTTGAGCTAAGAGAGATTCGCCTGCCTCTGCCTCCCTACTGCTGGGATTAAAGGCCTGCCTGCAACCTGGTTCAACTGAAAACCTTTAACGTACACTATTTTTAAAAGCTTTGTGTGCATGAGTGTATTGTCTGAGTGTATGTATGTGCACCAAATTCATGACAGATCAGAAGAGGACATCAGATTCCCTGGACCTGGATGAACTGAAGTTACAGAGGGTTGTGGCCACCAGGTGGGCCCTGGGAACTGAATCTGGGGCCTCTACAAAACGTTACTACCAAGCCGTCTCTCCAGCCCTGATGCACAAGTTCAGATGAAATATAATTTATCTGTTTGCTTTTGCTGTCTGTGGGGTTTTTGTTTTGTTTTGTTGTATCACATCCAGAAAAAACTATTGCCCAATACCTTGTCAAACTTTCTCCTTGTTTCTTTCAAGAGTTGTACAGCATTGGCTCTAAGTCTCCAACCCATGTTGGAAAGACTACCTTTCTTATATGGAATGAGGTAGGAATTCAAATTCATACTTTTGCTTGTAAATCCTTTATTGAAACCAGACCCGAGTTCATAACCTTCTATGCAGAACCAGGCCCCAGCAGACCAGAAGGGGGCGCTCAGGAAACACAAGGCCCTATTCCTACATCAGGCTGTACTCCACCTACTGATTTTCTTTTTGGTTTTTCCAGACAGGGTTTCTCTGTGGCTTTGGAGCCTGTCCTGGAACTAGCTCTCGTAGACGAGGCTGGGCTTGAACTCATAAAGATCCGCCTGCCTCTGCCTCCCGAGTGCTGGGATTAAAGGTGTGCGCCACTACCGCCCGGCACCTACTGATTCTTATAAGGTAATTGGGCAAAGAATGGGTGCGCACAATAGCCAGAACCCTTCACTGGGATTTACTGATTCTCCACAAACCTCTTATCATACTTCAATCTTGGTTTCTCTTTCATACCTAGGGACTTGGCCCCAGTCAAGACCCCTGTCCACAGAGAACACATATACCGGAAAGGAAGTTTCTAGGCTGATGTTTTCTCCTACCCCAGCTCAACCCCAGCCCCTACCACCACCTGACATTCCCTCTTGCACAAGGGCCTTGGGCCCTCACACGTCTGCTGGTTGGAACTTAGCACCCAGGACCCATGGGCTCAGCAAAGTGGTATGGCTTATGTGGCTTTACCTTAGTCTTTCCTGCTCTACAGCCTTCTGCAGCTCCTGTAGCCCACAGGTGGCCCACGAGCACAGCCTTTCCAAGTAGCCTCTCCACCTCCCAGCTCTGCCCTCCCCTTTGCCTCCCGGTGATGTTGGGCTTCATTCCTGCAGAAAGCCCAATAGCCATGAGTCCAGATCAGGCTCAACTGTGGTGCTGAAAATGTAGATTCCAAAGTAGACGTGGTGTTACTTGGACAACAACTGAGGAGTGGAATCAAGGTCATCCTTGAGTTGGAAGCCAGCCAAGGCTAATGTATGAGACCCTAAGCTAAAAAACTCAAAATTAAAAAAATTACTGGGTCACTCCGAGTCACTGGCCTCGTGGTGGACCACCCAGAGGTCCCAGACAATCTGCTGATGACTTTGGTCCCACATGGTACACAGGTCAGGGGTGGGCTGGGTCAACACGTGGGCCCAGGAGCCATCAGTCTTGGAAGCTGTTGTGTAGGCTGGGACATACCCAAAATCGATACCTTCTATTGAGGGGGACAGGCCTGCTGGGGTCACCACCACTACAGCTGGGTGGCAGGGGATTGTTTCTAAACAGACCTTGTCCACATTCAGCCCCAGTGAGAGACCAAGGTCTCTAGGATCTGGTGTTCATGGTGATCTTACTCTCCCTCCAAAACAACAGGAGGAATTTACAGGCTGGGCTCCAAGAAACACTGGGCAGTTACCGGCAAGGGACATAGGCCCGGGGTCCTGTTCCGGAGCACCTAACAGCCTCAGAAGGCAAGAAAAGGAAGAGGAATAAGGAGGGAGAGAGTGGTGAGTACATTGGGGACACTAACAGATGAACAGATGAAGACTAGTCACTCCTGGAGTTCCCAGGACCCCCGGATACATAGTTCAAGGATCTCAGGAAGCTGGAACCGGCCCCGGAAGGTCTCGCACGTGCCAAAAAGTAGAGCAGGCGCCAGGGTGGCCACCAGGGGGCCAGCTGACGGTTCTAAGTACCCGTCCCGTCGGTGAGGAGGCATCCGGGTAGGGAGCTGGGTTGCTGAGGTCTGACGGAGGAAACTGGACCAGGGCACAACGCGACGAGAACGTATCCAGCAGGGCCAGTAGAAGCCGCGCAGGAATTTCAGGTGGAACTGAGGTGTAGGCTGCGGGGTAGTGGCGGGGGTGGAGGTGGGGTGTCCCGGCTGCTGCCCCTCCCCCATGGTTCAGACCTGTTCCCCTCCCCCACCAAGGGCCAGCCTGTAAGTTAGGGAGCATCCACATTTCTCTTCCCGTCGGTTTTGCATGCGCTTGGCCCTTTGTATGAGGCCAGTTCATTGGGTAGATTCGAGATACGCCCCGCCCAGGTCTCCGAGCCTGCCAATCGCAGGAAGTTTCACAAGTGTTGCTGCTCCAGGGATTGCTACCGTCCTGCGACGTTTCTTATGATGCTTAGGCCTCAGTAATCTTTGCTCCCAGAACCTGGGCCTTAAGCCCAAGGATACCTCCAGGGCCTGTGCCCGAAAAGGTGCCCTCTGAGCATCCGGACGACCCTTGGGAATCTCGGCTTCCTTTCCTCCACACGGCTCGCCGGCGTGTCCTCGAATGGACGCGCTTATCCCAAGGAGGAGTTTGCAGACGCTCCCTCGAGCTTAGTACGCGTCCCCTTTAAGAGTGCGGCCGTTCAGGGAGCCGCCTGCCTGGACCGGTGCCCCGCGCCCGGGGTCTGTAGGCGGTCGCGGGCAATTAGAGCTCGGCGGCCGAGCGCGGGCGGCGGAAAGCGCGTGTTTGCATAGACGGCGTAGGACACGAGACAGGAGCCACCGTACGTGGAGCAGGCGTGCGGCGGGCAGCCCAGCTCAAGCCCCGCCCCGCCCCGCCCGCTGGGGTCCTGCGCTCCGGGCTGCGCGCGGCGGGCGCGGAGGGAAGTCCCGAGACAAAGGAGCGCCGCCGCCTCTGCCGCCGCGACGGTCCGGGCCGTGGTCGCCCAGGTGAGCCGCCACCGGCCCGCGCGCGCACTCCGATCCTCGCCCCGCGTCGCCGCCGTTCCCTGTAGGCTTCCGGGAGGCGCCGAGCTGAGCCGCCGCGGCCCTTCTAGCTCACGGCCTCCTCCCGCCTCCGAGCCTCGGCCCTTGGGGCACTGGGGCCCAGCCACTGTGCCCCGGGCGAGTGCGGGGTTGGGAACACCGTCCCCTATTGCCCCTATTCCTGGCGGACTGAGTTCCGCTGACCCCACAACAGACGATCTGAGCTTTGCGGTAGCTACCAGACTCGTTCTGGGCGGTGCTGGGCCCGTGGTTGGGCGAGCGGGAGTGCAGGAAGGCCGTGGGCACTGGGCCGTGTCGCGGCCTGTAAGCACCGGAGTCGCAGCAGAAGGCTTGCTTCACTTCGTCGGTTGCCCAGACACTGGGTCTGTCCTTTGGGTTTTGTGGGTGTTTTGTGCAGATTCTCTGCCCCACTGTCCTTTATTCTTAAGGAACTGTTGCTTTAGTGGGTGAGTTACCTGCCTCCGCAACAGAAAACAGGCATCGAAAGGGAATTTGTTCCGATTCTAAAGATGTTTGGGCTGTGAGTGATGGCAGTCCTGCCTTCCTCTAGCTGACTCTGCCGCTGGAAACTTAAGAAACAGCCTAGTATCCTTAGTGAAGGGTCCTTAGGGCCTGCAGTATGCGTGCGGGTGGAAGAGGCAGCTTAGCTTTATCCGAGCCAGCCGTAGTACCTGGTACTCCGTGTTGCTTATGAGTGAGTCGAGGTGGGTGGAAATAAGCAACCTTGCACATGCTCTCTGGCCGGTAAGTAGTTCTGGAATACGTGCTGTCGCCAGACAAATACAGCGGATTACAGGAAGTCTGGTATGCGAAGAAGACCTAGCCCTGTATTCCCTGCCTGCCTCTGGTAGCTGGGGGTTATTTTGTCTTTGCCTCAGAAAACTTTCCGGCTCACGAAGTGGCTGTTAACTCGGGAAGGCGAGATGTACTTAAGGTGGGGGAGGACCAGGTTTCTGCTTAGATCATTACAGATGTGTCCCTAGGGCTCCTTTTTTGCTCGACCGTGGGGCAAGAAGGCCTTTGTAAGCTCTTGTAGAATCATCTCTCACTTCCCTGTAACTCCTTTTGAGATAGCATCCCAGGCTGACCTTGAACTCTTGGTGGTCGTGTGCGAGCTTGAGCCACCACGTGCAGCTCCTCAGTTGTTTTCACACTGGAATAGTCACATTTGGATGCTAGGACAGAGCCGGCTCCTTGCTCCAGAGCAGTGGCTAGGAGTTTGGGAATCTATTTGGAAGTCCTACCCAGCCTTGCTTGGGATCTTGTGCCATCTGATTGGCTGGATGGGGATGGTAGCTCCTTTACAGCCTACCCTCAGTTGGGGAAGGCAGAGTGCTTGTGCTCCTAAGCCTGAGGGGGGGCAAGTTCCCAGGAGCCGGGGTGCAGTTAGGCCTCTCCACTGAGGACTAGTTGAAAAGTGGGACACATTGGAAGTGAAGCCCTAGGCTTCCAAGCTCTGCCCCAGCTGTTGACTTCCTCAGGTCTGCCCCCCCACACACACACACCCCGAGACAGCTCAGAGCTAGTCCTTCCCTGCCATGTTTCTCATGCCAGTATCACCTGGGTGTTGTGGCTCCTCTCTTCCCAACAGTGAGTCCATGTGGGCAGCAACCTGTCCTTCCATCTTGGATGAGTGCCACCTGGATCTTCTGTTTGCTAAGATATGAATATTCAGGCGGGTCTTGGGGGGTTGGTGGTAGAGCCTTGGTGATCATGCTTGTTTTGGACAGTCTCTACTCCTGTGGTGGGGAGGGACAGGGGTTTGGGCTTGAGCCTTTGTTTTTTGACTTGAGGTCAGGTAAGAGAGGAGGCTTTAGTTTGTATACTTTGGACTTTGACTGGAGTTTGTGTCACTTGATGGCTCTCTGTCTCAAGCTTGTCCGGTGGCTTGTGCTTCTTAAAGAGTTTCTTCGTGTTGACTTTGAGTGTATAGGATATTAAAAATACCAATACTGGGTGTCTGTGGTTTTGCTTTTTTGTTTCGAGATAGGGTTTCTCTATGTGGCCCTGGCTGTCCTGGAGCTCACTCTGTAGACCAGGCTGGCCTCGAACCTGCAGATCCACCTGCATCTGCCTCCTGAGTGCTAGCTAGATTAAAGGCGTGTTTCACCACCACTTGTCCTTGTGTTTGTTTTATAGTGACCTCACCCGAGTTCCTGAAAAATGGGCTCCTAGGTGATGCTCCACCCCTGATGGCAGTCCTAGCCCTTTTCTGCTGGTGTATTTGATGAAGTCATCAAGAGAAATCTAGGGCCAGGTGTGGTGGTGCATGCCAGTAATGGCCAACACTCAGGCAGGCCAGTCTGCTCTACATAGTGTGTTTCTGGGCCAGCTCTGGCCACATGGTGAGACCCTATCTCAAAAAGGGGTGGGGAAAGGAAAGCTGTCTAGAGACCAGATGTGGTTCATGCCTATAATCCCAATACTAAGAAGCTAGCCAGAAGGATTGTTGTGAGTTTCAGGCTGGGCTACAGTGTGAGACTCTTAGCTAAAAAACAAGCCATCTAGGACCTCAGTGCAAGGCTCTACCAGATTGCTTTGACCCAGTGTGTCTGTTTAGGAGATACCAGAGAACTATGCTCACACAGGTGGGGGTGCATATTTAATCAGCCAACCTGTAGCGCAGGGTGTGAGGCCTTTGAGCTGTAGAGGGCCTCTCCCCCCCCCCACTGGGTCAAGAATGCAGGGCGGTTCCTAGGGGAGTCAGGACAGTGCAGGTAAGATGGGCAGCCTGAGCTAAGTATAAGCTAGCAGGAGCTCTAGGGAGGTCTGGTTGAGATGTGTTAGAGGCTGTAGCAGGAGCCTATTCTAGCAAGAATCTTGCTCTTGTCCTGAGAAGATTGAAGACTGTGCCTGAGAGAGAAGACTACAGGATATCCCAGTGCTTAGTGACCACTTGGAGATGAAAACAGAGGCTGAGTTGGTGCTGGTTCTGCTGGGAGATTTTGTCCCCGAGCCCAGTGGAGCCTCACATGAGAATCGTGGAAGCCTCAAGTTGGAATCAGCTATGGGACTTTTGTCCTGAGAAGCAGCTCAGTGTGAACCACTTTAGAAAGATACCTTTTTATCTGCTAGATCCTTGCTCAAGGGCCGGCTTGCTTCCACCCACCCCTTGATCCCAGTGCTCTGTTAAGTTTGGAAGTCTCTGGGTGCTGTCTCATGTGATACTAAAAAGAGGGGAAAAGGAAAAGGTAAGCAGGTGGCAGCCAGGTTGGAGCCACAGTCGAAGTGGCTGTGGGCCTAGGTGGAGGCGGTCCTTTACCCTTGCTGAGTGGAACCTAAGGGCCTTGTCCAGGTGTGCTGATACGCCCTGGCAAGTGCTCCTGGCCTGGGGTTTGCACTCCTTTCCCCCAGGGCCACAGGGCAGATCTCTGGATTGAGCTGGCAGGCCTGTGGGCTGCTGTAGTAAAGCAGGAGGTAGCGCGGTTAGTCTGGTCTCTTGGGGTGGTCTGCCTATGGAAGTTCATCCTGCTCTCTCCCTGGACTGCAGATTTTTCTCATCGGTGCTTTCAGGAGTAGTGATTGTCCTTCTGTCGAGAATGATTCTAAGTTGTGCCAGAGCTCCTGTATCTGGTGTACCTGGAGGGCAGTCCCTTGTTTGTGAACCCTCCTTTTGCTCCCAGCCTTGCACTCTACCTTTCGGGGGAGTGGGAGGGGGTTGTGCTGAAGAGAGCCTTGAGCCATGTCCTGGCCTTAGGTGAGTGCTTCCGGTGCCTGTAGGCCCTCCCTGTCCTGAGAGTTTGACTGTGGAGTGGTGTCTAGTCTTTCCTGAAGATGCTCAGTGCCTGCTGGGGAGGTGACAGCCTTTGTGCAGGCTCTCCTCACTGCCCTCCCAATGGTTGGGGTTTGTAAACCACAGGAGGGACAGCAGTTGTGCCCTGCCTACCTGGGGGTGTTCTGGGGAGCGCCTATTGAGGGTTATAATGTCAGCACTTGCTCAGAGGTAGCTTGCCCAGCTGGACTTAGCCTTATTCACCTGCTTGGAAACAGCCTTCTCTGACTGAGATGGGGGTGGGGAGATGGCACAGGGGGGTGTGTGTGTGTGTATGTATGTGTGTACATGTATGCACGCACGCTTCACCTAACCATCCCTTTATGCTGTCTGTTCCAGGGACTTTGAATATGTCGGGGATTGCCCTCAGCCGACTTGCCCAGGAAAGGAAAGCTTGGAGGAAGGACCACCCTTTTGTAAGGAGCGTTCTTTTTCTGAGCTACAAGGAGGGACCTTCTGTTGGATTGTGTTCCCTGCTGCTCAGCCTGTAGCCACTGGGTGAGACCTAGGCTTGTTCTCTGAGCTGGTTTGTTTTGTGACTGTTCTTTCTCAGGGCTTTGTGGCTGTCCCAACAAAGAACCCTGATGGCACGATGAACCTGATGAATTGGGAGTGCGCTATCCCTGGAAAGAAGGGGGTAAGGGCTGCCATTGGCTTTGTACCTCACTGTTTCTAACAAGAGATTTGAGGGAGCAGAACTACTAGAAGGGACTTGGGTTTACATATCTTTAACATCTGACCACAGCCAGCCTACCAGGTCACAGCCCTCACCAAGCCAAGGAGTGGCTGTGGTGGTAGGAAGGCTTGGACCCTGGCAGATCATTGGATCAGTGAAAACCCTGGGGTGAGGAGCAGGCGAAGATTGCTGGGTACAAAGTGGTAAGCCCCGATGACAAGGTGTCCTGGAGAGCACAAGCTGTGTGCACATTGGCCTCGGTGTTGCCAGTTTGCTGTCCTTGCCCAGAACTTGTAAAGCATGTGAGAGAGAAGGCATTGTCTAGACTAGGGCCTCCAGGTTCAGCTTAGCACCTGAGCGGGTTCATCTGTCACAGTATAGGGGTGGGTGGGTCCTGGCCTGTCAGAGTCCGAGTCAGGGTTGAGCAGTTCCACCATGGTGCTTCCATTGCATGAGCTGGGGGTAGGAAAGCTGCTGGGGTTGGGGAATAGTACCCTGTCCCTCCCGGGGTAGGCTCCAAGGTGCAGACTTGACTAATACAAGTATAAACTGCCGGGCCCAGCTTTGTTTGCTGAGCTCTTTGGTGTTCTCAGCCACCCAAAAACTGTGTGGGTCCTGAGCCCTCCAGCATCTGGCAGGCTCCCCTACTTGTGTTCAAGCCAGCTTCTGCCCCCATCCTATCTGAGGAAGGCTGTTGTCTAGCTCCCATAGGCACAAGTGGGCGTCATCTTCAGCCCTAGAGGTACAGTGATGGTGTGGGGCTGTTAGAGAATCAGCCCAAAGCACCTGGGTTTGGGGAAACTTCTGGTCTTACTTGGCATGTGAGCTACGTATCTAACCTTAGTTCCCTTCCCACAGACTCCATGGGAAGGAGGCTTGTTCAAACTGCGGATGCTTTTCAAAGATGACTATCCGTCCTCACCACCAAAATGTAAGTTCTGCAGAGAGTTTGCAGTCCCTTTCCCAGAGCCTCCCTTTGGGAGCCGGATGCTCTGCCCAGCAGGCAGGTGTCAGTGCTGGGATAAAAGCATTTTTGGTGAGTCGCCTTGGATCACAAGTCCCAGGATAGAAGAGCATGTAATTAGTGTGGTCTCTAATCCCAGTCAATCAGGAGGTACCACATTTCAGAGGGAAAGTTGTGAGTTCTGAGTGTGAGCTCCTGGATGATTTGGTGCCCGCAGGTGTAGAAGAGCAGGAGTCTCAAGGCTTTCCTAGGTTGAGTGAGTGGTTAGCATATGTATTAATTCAAAGCACCAAAGGAGAGAAGAATCTCCTTCATTCCAGTCTGCTGCATTGTTTGTTCCTATTCATGCCTCGCATCCCAGTGAGAGACTGTGTGGTCTGAATGTTGAGCCTTCAGGTCAGTAGGTGAAAAGTGAAGGTTGGACTGTGTCCAGAAGGCTAGACAAGCTCAGCAGAACTTGCTTGGGGATGCAGTGCCCACCACCATCATTCTGCCCAGGGTATGACTGACCAGGTCTGAGCTTTCACAGTCGACTTGTAAATAGAGATGTTGCCCATTGCAATGACTTAAACATACCTTATTGGGAACCACTGGGTGGACTCTTACTTTGTTTGTCAGTGTTTTCTGCAGTCCTATTATTAGTGGGATTTGGAGCAGTGGAGGGGTTCAAGGCAGGGTTTCTCTGTGTAGCCTTGATTATTCTAGAACTCTGTAGTTCCAGAGATTATTCTGCTCTGTAGACCAGTCTATCCTTGAACTCAAAGGTCTACCTGCCTCTTCCCAAGTGCTGCAGTTAAAGGCGTGCACCACCACTGCACAGCCAATTAGTGCTTTCATTTAATTAGGGGGTAGGGATTTAAGGTTGAGACAGACACAATTGCTTGTCTCGTTGCTTTCGTGTGGTTCTGGAATCCTAAGCAAATACAATGAAGCGAGAAGTTTCTCAGCTGACAAGGAAAACCAAGATGCAACGTCTTATAAGGGAAAAATGAAGAAATGGATTGTAGCATATGGGAGTTTGAAAACTAAGTAATTTTCTGAGAGAGAACTCTGTGCTGGAAACCATGGGCATTTCTAAGAAGCCCAGGATACCCTCATCCTCCTAGCTGATCTCCACATACCACAGGGTGTCCCACTCAGGCAGTCTCCAGAGTGCATGCAGAGTTGTGCAAAGGAGGGGCAGTCAGTCCCTTGGAAGTTCCAGGGGCGCTGGAAGACCCAGTGTGAAGAAATTGTCCGGACCTGTTAACAGAGTGGATCACCAGTTACATGGTTAAATGTTGTAGGATTGGTTCAAAGACAGGCAGCCAGACCATGAAGCAGAGTGGATAGTCCAGAAAATCCATACATACTCACTGGATATGGGATGAAATTACCAGGGGTTGCTTGGGAGATGAACCCAGCCTGTGGGTTCATCTCAGCCAAGTGAATGGGGAATAGGGCAGCTTTGGAGAAGGTTCCAGAGGTTTTCCATGATCTTGGGGTGTAAGGTATTCTTCACCAGAGAAGTACAAGAGGCCCTGGATACAGGGATTGGCTTATCTGTATGACCCTGGAGTTGAGACAGTCTTAGACACCAGCTAGTGAGAGATGCAGGGGGCAGAGCGTACCTTCCTGAATCTCAGGCTTTTCTAGGTTACCAAGAGGAGTTAACCAACCATAAAGTAGTGTAGACCTTGGGGAGGAAGGCTAATGCAGCCAAAAACTGAACAGCAGGAACTCTTGGGCACTTGTTGCAGGGTGTAAAGGTTGGACATTTCCCTGAAAGATCCCTGCGGTGACCACTAAAGCAGGCCGCTTGCCACTGCTTTCTAGGACTGAGCTGTAGGAATGCTGTGGAAGCCTCATTGGTGATGACCAGAAGGCACATGGTGCAGGTGTGCGGTAATAGCAGCCTGGGAAATACCTAGGGTAAAAGGAAGTAAGGATGTGTCTTATAAATCCCCCAGACAGCAGAATAGTAGAATCCTTAATGTCTGATCCATGCCTCTCAAAGCAGTTGCTGCCAGAGTGAGGCTAAAAGCAAGATGGTGCTAGGAGCTAGTAGGAGATTCAGGTTCACTGAGATTCGAATGCGAGTCATCATTAGCAGAAGAAAATATAGTTGCCAAATGAGATTAAATTTGCGTTTGTTGGAAAGTGCAATTTAAAGAACAAAAAGATATGTCCTGGATTGGGAAAGAAGCCTGCTGGAGAAGGGCTTATATCGAGACCACCCTTCTGAGCAGTAAGGGATACAAGATAGACATGCCTTTAAAGCAGCTTCCAGGAACTGGCGTTGGCGCTGTAGTGCAAAACATTAGCAGCTCTTCTAGAGTACCAAGGCTGGATTTTAGCATTTCATGACAGCTCACAACTGGCTATAACTCCTGTCCCAGGGGCTATGACACCCTCCTGACTTCTGTGGGCTTTACACATACATGCAGGTAAAACCCACATTCATTTAAAAAAAAAAAAAATGGGTGGGGGTTGAGACGGGGTTTTCTCTGGCTGTCCTGGAACTTCATCTGTAGACCAGGCTGGCCTCGATCTCAGAGATTCACCAGCCTCTGCCTCTTGAGTGCTGGGGTTAAAGACGTGCGCAACAGCTGGAGATCTGTGGGAATGGGAACCAGGCCTGGAGACCCTGACCAGCTGTGAGACAGCTGAGCTAGAGAACCTGATAGGATTCGTTTTAAGACCTAGGCACCCACCACCCTCTCCATTCGCATATTGATATACCTGAGGCACAAGTCTTGTTCTAGTTCTTTCTCATAGCATTGCTTGGAGTGGCATTCAGTAACCCACATTCACAAGGCACACACTGTGAATCTCAACCCCTCTGGACAGACCTTGTGTTTTCTATGAACTTTCAACATTAATGCCTGGTGTTCATTCTCTCTCATCTTCATTTCTTCATTAATTTAGTATTTATTTTTGTGGTGCTTTGGTTTGAACCAGGGCCTCATGGGTGCTAGGCAAGTATTCCATCACTGAGCTGCAGTCCTGCATTTTTTTGTTGTTATTTAAAGCTCATGGGCAATTAGAGTTTAACAGAACTAGCTGGGCAGTGGTCGTGCATGCCTTTAGTCCCAGCACTTGGGAGGCAGAAAGGGGTGGAACTCTGAATTGAGTCCAGCCTGTCTACAGAGCAAGTTTTGGGGAAGCCAGGGTTACACAGAGAAACCCTGTCTCAAAAACAAAAAAATTACTATGAGCATTATGTGCACCAGCATGCACATATACAACACCAAATGTATGAAAGCCAGAGTATAATTCGTATGCGTTTTCTTCTCACATTGTGTGAGCCCCAGGGATAAAACTGAAACCATCAGGCTTGGCAGCTAGTGCCTTTACCCACTGAGCCATGTTGCTGGCTCTAGAACATTACAGTAACTGAAGCTTAACAGGGTGCACCATTTTTTTAATTATTTATTTTATGTGTACATTTGTCTATGAGGGTGTCAGATCCCCTGGAACTGGAGTTATTGACAGCTGTGAGCTACCATGCGGTTGCCGGGAATTGAACCCAGCTCCTCTGGAAGAGCTGCCGGTGCTCTTAACCACTGAGCCATCTCTCCAGCCCGCAGGCTATACTATTTATCTAGTTTGGTCCTCAACGTTACATTAACAGCGGCAGTACATCCACTAAAAACCTTTCTGTGAGGGGCTAGAGAGATGCTCAACAGTTAAGAGCATATACAGCTCTTGCATAGGATTCAAGTTGAGCTTTCAGAATTCACATTGAGTAATTCACAACCATCTGTAACTCCCGCTCCAGGAGGATCCTCTGGCTTTTGTGGGCACCTCAACGCTCATATGTGTAAGACACACACACACTTAACTCTCACTCTTCCCTGGACCAGAAGCAGCTACTCCCCACATCCCCACAGTGGTGGCACACACCTTTAATCCCAGTACTCAAAAAGCAGAGACAGGCAGATCTCTGTGAGTTTGGGGCCAGACTGGTCTATATAGTGAATTCTAAGACAGTCAAGGCTATACTATACATAGAAACCTTGTCTCAAAAAACTTCTAAAACAAACAAACAAACAAAAAAACTCCTGGGAATTGAACCCAGATCCCCTGGAAGCACAGTGTTCTTAACCTCTAAGCCATTTCTCCAACCCTACTCCTTTTTTAAAAAAATAAGACTTCACTAAGATGCCTAGGCTGGCCTTCAACTCAACCTTCTGCCTAGCCTACAGAGTAGCTGGTATAGCTGTTTTGCTGCCACAGCTGCCCAGCCCATTCCAAAGCCTTATGTACGCAAGGGAAGTGCCCTGCCACAGAACTCCATCCCCAGGCCCCTTCATGTGCTGATAAGCCAAGCTGCCTTTAGACTTGTACTTTTTTGAGTATACATTTTTGAAAATAAGTAGGAAGTTTGCCTGGGTCAAGATGAGGCACATCCTAAGTATCAGCTGTGGAGCAGAGCCGAGTGGGGCTCATGGTGGACTTGTCTACTGTAAAGAAACGTGCTGTGCTTGACGCCTGTATGGTGAGGTGGTTTACACACTGGGTGTTTACTCTGGCCAGTTCCCTCCAGCCTTAAAACTTTGTCCCCTCTGACTAGGGACTTGGGAAAAGGTCATAGGCTCAACTGCCTCAGCTCCTGGCCATGATCTCACCTTGGTTGCTCCAGTCTCCTCAAGCAGAGCTGTCTGGTGTGTCCAGGCTTGGCTCAGGAGGAAGACGTGTATTCTCATCCTCTTTCTGGCCTCTCTGCTACTGAGTTTGAGTTGAGGTGCATCATTGTCAGGAAGGAAAGCAAGGGTAGTGTGGGCTGGGGAACAGCATCTGCCTCCAGAAGTATTCCTTTCTTTCCCTGTTGTCCAGGTAAATTTGAGCCACCACTGTTTCACCCAAACGTGTATCCTTCTGGCACAGTGTGCCTGTCCATCCTGGAGGAAGACAAGGACTGGAGGCCAGCTATCACGATCAAACAGGTATGGGTAGGCAGCTGGCCAGCCTTCATGGTCTGCCCTGTTGACGGTGTCCAAGGCCTCTTTTCAACCCCCCCCCCCCCAGCCCTATCAGTGTTAACTGATTATGTTTCTCCCACAGATCTTATTAGGAATACAAGAACTTCTTAATGAACCAAATATCCAAGACCCAGCTCAAGCAGAGGCCTACACAATTTACTGGTTAGTAGCAACCACCCACTGGCTAACCTTCCTTCCTTGGAAGTTCAGACTGGCTGCCTGGAGCTCTGAGGTGTTAGACTTCCTCAGGGAGGCTCTGAGGAAGAGGTGCAGACTCCCACTTGGTGGCAGCACTACACTAGGTGACCATGGAATGTGGTCAGAATCGTCAAGGAAATTGTACGTGTCTGACAACGTACATAGAAACAGAAGTATGTGTGCAAGGAGCTTACCCTGAGCAGAACAGGGGACCAGAGCGTGGTGTACGGTAAGATGACAGGTGCAGAACAGGTGATGTGGGCACTGGTGAACACCAGTGTCTGTGGCCTGCTGCATGATAGCACAGTCTTCTCGCTAGGACAGTGCTCTGAGCTCTGCATCTGCTGAGGAGGATGACATCATGTAAACATGAAGTTAGAATTTGAATGACAGTTGAGCCAGTGCTGTAGGAGCAAGGAAAACCCTGAAAATAGAGGTTCCATGTTTTTGGTGTCCTGGACTTCTACCCCCACCCCGCCCCCTCATCCTCTGGGCTAATGTGTGGGGACATAATGAAGCTAGGTTGGGAGTCTGGTGACTTCCAGGGAGGTAAGAAAATTCTCTGCCTCTGAATTAGAATGACACCAAAATGAGAGCTGACAGAACTCGCCGTGTATGCTTTATCTTTGCTGTCTACAAGGATCCCGCTGATCTAGGCAAGCACTGAAGTAATTCTGGCTGAGACCCCAAGATTGGTTCAATTGCAGGGACCTTGAACGCTTCTCTCCCTGTGTCTTAGGCATCAACCCTCTACTCCTCCCAATGGGAGTAGAGTCCTAGGCACCTCTATTTTAGCCTGTTACCCTAATGAGATCCATCTCCCCACTGGATCTGCTCTCCCAAGAACTAAGCAGGAAGAGGGAGGAATGGTATGCACTGTATCTTCAGGGGAGAAACCAAAGGAAAGTAGGGCACATGCCCAGCCTTGGTGCTTGTGTGCTGCCACCTTTGGTGACCAAGGCAGGCCTGCCTAGAATTGTCACTAGAACCTTGGGAATGCAGCTTACACTCTGTGCTTTGCCTGCTCTGCACTGACCACCTGGGCTCCAGGCTCTTCGGGGCCTGACCCTTGTGTGGAATGCTGTTACTGGCCTGTGTGCCTCATGAAGCCGGTATGCTTCTGCCAGACCCTTGGAACCTCTCACTGGGCTAGTGCTTAGCACTGCACTCTGCCTTGGACCTGGCTCTGTTCCCAGCTGGCCTGAGGGTTTGGTTCTCACCTAGGTAACATGGGCTCTGTTCTTCCAGCATTTAGTTCACTTTTCAGTGGCGGGCTTACTTTCTGCTGCATCATCCAGATCTCTCCCTGGCTTGCTTTGTGTGCTTGTTTTCACATATATGGAGAAGCTTCATGTCCCTCTTCCCTGAGTGACTGTTGCCTTGCAGTCATTGTCTAGTGTCCTTGTTTAGTGAATAGCGGTGCTGCTGGATGAGCGCTGGGCTGCTGTCCCCATGGTAGCAACAGCCCCCTCCTGGGACTAGCATGTGCTACTAAGTATTATGTCCTCCCTGCTAGGGTTTTGGTACTGGGCCTTTCTGGGGTGACCTTGGCACAAGAACCTGTCATTTGTACCTTGGCTATCCTGTCTAGGTTTTGGGAGTGTCTGTAAACTCTGAGGCTGGGCAGCTTGGGCTCAGGCTTGCTCTAGAGGCACTTGGCTATTGCAGTTCATGCAGATGTCTTGTTCCCATGGTTCTCAAGGTCACGTTGTTCCTTATGTCAATTTTCTGTTCCTACACACTGTGCAGGCCAGCCTAGGTCTGAAGTCTCAACAGTGGGTACATGCCTTCCATATTGAAAGCCCTCACATGTTCTTACTGAGCAAAACCTAGTGTCTGTGGGCTGTTCTCCACTTGATAGCCCTGTCTCATGCTTGCTCGTTACAGCTGATTAAGACCGGTTGTGCGGGCTGGAGAGGCGGCTCAGTGGTTAAGAGTACCGGCTGCTCTTCCAGAAATCCTGAGTTCAATTCCCAGCAACCACATGGTGGCTCACAACCATCTATAATGAGATCTAATGCCCTCTTCTGGCCTGCAGGCAAACATGCAGATAGAACAAAGCTTTTTTTTTTTTTTTTTTTTTTTTTTTCTCTCTCGAGACAGGGTTTCTCTGTGGCTTTGGAGCCTGTCCTGGAACTAGCTCTGTAGACCAGGCTGGTCTCAAACTCCCAGAGATCCGCCGCCTGCCCCTGCCTCCCGAGTGCTGGGATTAAAGGCGTGCGCCATCATCGCCTGGCTAAAGCATTTTTAAAAAGAAAAAGAAAACCAGTCTTGCTAAAACTTGCTAGGTAGAGATGCACACTTGTGTTCCTGGCTGTACTGGGAGACTGGGGTGAGAAGGTCACTTTAGCCAGATTTCTAGGCTCTGATGTGCTGAGTTCACCATGGTTCTGGTTTCCCGGTAGTGGAACTGGCAGACTGCACTTAGAAGTCAGTGGTGGGAGTGTTGTGAGTGCCATTGTCCTGCTCCAGCCGGAGGCTAGACATAGCACAGGCAATGACACTGCAGGAAGCCAGGGCCACTTTGTCTTCTAGGTGGTAGTCTCTGTTCTGTCCCTAAGGGGTTGAGGTGGCCACAGAACTTCTCAATGGAGGTTGCTGCCTCTCCTGTCCCAGTGACCACCAGGTACAACCACTTTACTACCCTGCCCCTGAGTGGGTCATGTTATCACCCTATCTAACTGTGTTTTCTCTCTTGACCTCCTCAGCCAAAACAGAGTGGAATATGAGAAAAGGGTTCGAGCACAAGCGAAGAAGTTTGCCCCCTCATAAACAGCGGCCCTGTGGCTCCGTGACGAGGAAGGGATTGGCTTGGCAAGAACTTGTTTACACCTTTTGCAGATCTAAGTCGCTGCGTACAGTTACTAGTCGCCTGGGAGGGTTGAGCGGGCGTCATTTTCCATTTCCGCCACTGGCATATACAGTCTCAATTCGCTGAATTGCCCCAGTTTTTCATACAGGGTCTCTTCCTTCAGTCTTTTGTATTTTTGATTGTTATGTAAAACTTGCTTTTATTTTAATATTGATGTCAGTATTTCAACTGCTGTAAAATGATAAACTTTTGTACTTGGTAAGCCCCTAGGAGCTAGTTTCTTCGCGCTCGGATGCAGGCATGCTTCCCACTGTTCAGAGCTCTGGCCTCCAGCTGGCTGTATGACAGAACCACACTGTCCCTCCCTCCCCACCCTCAACATCCTCAGAAACCTGGGCTGTTGCTTATGAGCCTCAGATCCAAAGTTGGCCAGCGTCTCCATTCTGCACCACTTCCTTTGTGTTTATATGGCGTTTTGTCTGTGTTGCTGTTTAGAGTAAATAAACTGTTTATATAAAGGTTTTTTGTTGCATTATCATCATTAAACTGTGAGGAGGGACTTCAGTATGCCTGGCCCTCCTTATGTGGCTGCAGCCCTTGCCAGGCACCAAGGCTGAGCCCCAGGACCAGCACCTAGGAGTTCTCTCAGCTTCTGCTAGAGTTGTGCCCAGGCCACATGCAACTCCATCTTCATCTGGTTCTTTGTAAATAGGACTGTGTACAGAGGTGTGTTCTGTTCTCCCCACCTGGGTCTTTGGGCTTTAAGGTACCAGGCGGCATGAGACCCTCAAGAAGTCGGAATCCGCACACAGCCTTCGTAAACCCAGCAGGGTGAAAGACTGGCTGATCCAGACCAAGGCTGTGGCCAAGTGAGGGCCAAGGACACAGTGGTCTGCATTGCTCTCCCTGCCTGCCAATTGTACTGTGAGCCCCACTGGGCGCTGGTAGCTGGCTTCAGGCCTTTTGATGTCCTGCCCTTGCACCCTGGAGGAAGCAACCCCACCACCGGCTCTGGCAAACAGCAGGTCCTTGTCTAGAGCACCTGAGCACATGACTCCTGCACCTTCTAGCCAGCATTCAGTCCCACCCTGCAACCCAGGGGACCAGACCGGTTGTGGCCTCGGCACAGGATGACCTCAGGGACCACTGTCCACATACTCTGTTGGACCTGGTCTAGGGAGAAACTTATCAATGGCCTATAGCCCATGCCTGGGCCAGGCTGGATCTGTGATCTTGGGGCTTACAGAGCACAGGGAGGTGCAGTGGACACAGCCAGTGATCAGTCTTCATCAGACTTGTTCCTGAGACCCCCCTGGAAGACCCTTGGCATGGGAACCAGTCACCAGGGACCAAGCAAGGGAGGGCTGGGCCCATGCCCAGGTCTGCAGCCAGGAGCCTTCACTCTGAAGTTGGAGGGACTTGTACTCCCACAGCTGGTGGTGCCTGCATGGACTGGGTTACCAGCGCCTTGTGGGTATGTTTAGCCACCAGAACAGTCGAACTGAGTTTGGATGGACAGTTGCAGTTGGTGGCACGGGGCCTCACCTGGGGAATTCAGGCTGATGTGTGTGTGTATGGCCTGCTCTCCCAGAATGTCTTATTTTGTAACAACTGACTACATTTAGTAATAGGTACACATGTATATGGTTAATATATGGAAATTCAATATATTTTATAGTTAAAGTATTCTAAAGTAACTGATGTTTCTAGCAAGCTGTAGTGACTCTGGCTATGGAATGTTCCTTTGTCCCACAGTCCTTGGCTTACCAGAGATGTGAATTTTGTAACATGAGAACATGGGTCTATGACCATCCTGTGTTCAGGTGGTGGGGAGGAGGGTATCCCAGCATGAGGCCTCATTGGTAAGGAATTGTGGGCAACAGATTAACCACTGTATCTACAAATCTACAATTAAAACATTTCCACAAACGGCAGCCCTTAGGTTGTGTCTGTGGCTTCCTCGTGCCTGCCTCTAATCTCTGCTAGTCCTAGTGGGGTTCTCTTGCGCCCATTACCAGTCTGCACTTCTCACCAGCATCCCCCCAAGGCTGTTGAAGTGAGGTGTGCTCGCTCCCTGGGTGGCTCTGTTGGTGAGGGAAGTGAGTGCTCTTTTGAGTACTGACGGAGGTGTTGACTGTGGCTGAAGAGAGAAATACAGCCTCTGATCAACTCAGTGAGATTTGTGAAAACAACTCTCCTCCTGGGCTCGCCACGATTTCAGAAATCCCTCAAATTAGCCATAGTTGAGGCTGAGGGCCTGAGATACTAACTTTGTGAGAGCTCCGTGTGGACCACCTCCTAGCAGCCATATGAAACGAGTAATGGTGGTGTCCCCACTAGACAGACAGGGAAACTGAGGCACGGAAAGCTGGTGCATTACATTTAGCACGCATCTAAGCTGAGACATGAGGCAAGGCAGCCAGAGTGTCTGCTCTCTTGTACCCCATGTTCTCCCTTGTAGCAAGTGTTTAGTGCCTGCTGGACACAGCTGCCTTCAGCCAGGTGGTCTCACACACTTGCTACTCTGCTTTTTCCTTTCTTTGCTTTTTGAGACACAGTTTCTCTGTGTAGCTTTGGAACCTGTCCTGACACTGTGTAGCCGGGGCTGGCCTGAACTCAGAGATCTGCTTGCCTCTGGCTCCCACGTACTGGGACCACCCAGCTAGCTATTCTGCTTCTAATGGTACAAACCACTCAGGACTTCTCAGCGTGTAGCTCTTATCAGGTGGGAGCTTCCAAACACCCTTCAGGAGCCATTGCCTAGTTTCATTGTCCTAAGGGCCACCCAGTCTCTTAAGTCCCTGTTGAGCTGACTAGAAACCAATCTTCATGGTTGAGGGGGGAGGGGAGATGACTTCACATTTGCAAGTCACTCTGGTCCCATAATTTACATATGAAAGACATGAATTCCAAAAATATTTACTGCCCATTTTACAGATGAGGAAACTCAGGTCAAAACCACTTAAGAGTCTCATCCTGGTGTAGTTGGTTGCTGTGACAGAGCCGGTGAAGAACTCTGGCAGAGAAATGGAGTTGGTTCCCAGTACCCATGTCAAGCTGTTCTATAACCGCCTGGAACTCAGTCTCCAAAGGATCTAATAATCTAATAATGCCTTCTTTTGGCCTTCATAAGCACCACACAAACAACACACAGTTTAAAAAGATTTTTTGTTTTGTTTTTCAAGACAGGGTTTCTCTGGTTTTGGAGCCTGTCCTGGAACTCACTTTATAGACCAGCTTGGACTTGAACTCACAGAGATCCGCCTGTCTCTGCCTCCCAAATGCTGGGATTAAAGGCGTGTGCCGCCACCACCACCCAGCAAAAATCTTTAAGTAAATAAAGTCTTTGACAGGGTTCCAGGAATGCTAGTGTCCAGGACTGGCTCTGCCGTCAGGTTCCAGAGCAGCTTGGGTCTTGTGCTCTGTTCATAGTGTTTATCATTGTCTTTGTCTCAGGGTTTCTATTGCTGTGATGAAACACCATGACCAAAGAACAAGTTGGGGAGGAAAGGGTTTATTTGGCTTCTACCTCCACATCACTGTTCATCAAAGGAAGTCAGGACAGGAACTCAAGCAGGACAAGGCCTGAAGGGGGGAGCTGATGTAGAGGCCTTGGAGGGGTGCTGCTTGCTGGCTTGCTCCCCATGGCTTCTTCAGCCTGCTTTCTTAGAGAACTTAGAATCACCTGCCCAGGGATGGGACCACCCACAGTAGGGTGGGCCCTTCTCTATTCATCCCCCAATTAAGAAAATGCCCTAGAGGTTTACCTGCAGCCCAATCTTATGAAGGCAGGGTCTTTTTTTTTTCTTTTCTTTTTTTTTTTTCTCATCTGTATTTACCTTTTAAAGCAGAATGTGATTGGGCACTGTATTTCCACTCACAAGCCTTGTTGAATTACAAGACCTAGGGAAGCTTAGGATTTTGTTCTTGGTACTTTGGAAAACAAGCCACATGGGGAATTCCTGTTGTTTTAGCTTGTGTACTTACTTCTAAGACTAGTACATGCAGAACTATAGGGGATGAAAAGTTTTAAGATGAAATTTAAGCCATCTTATTTTTTTTCCTTTTAAACACGAAGTTGTATCTCAGAACACTTCCAAGCATTTGGTCTAATAAGGAATCCAGCTCAACAGCGAAACACTTCAGACCACAAAGTTAACAGGTTACATTACGTCTTACAACAAACATCCTGCCAACCTATTGAATCAAACCTATAGTAAGTATCACAGTATCACACAAGTAGAAAGAAATTTTCTCTTCCCCTTAGTTTTCATGCCACACAGATGTTTTAAATGTTAACAAAAATAAACAAAAATCGGGCTGGAGAGATGGCTCAGTGGTTTAGAGCACCGTCTGCTCTTCCAGAGGTCCTGAGTTCAATTCCCAGCAACCACATGGTGGCTTACAACCATCTGTAATGAGATCTGGCGCCCTCCTCTGGCGTGTGGGCATACATGGAGGCAGAATGTTGTAAACATAATAAATAAATAAAAATCTTTAAAAAAAAATCCTGGGAAATATAGTATCAGAAGGAATGAAAGTAAGCATCAAACATAGAGTTCTGGTGGAACTTAGCCTACTTCTTCCGTGCATGATGTGTCGTCATCTCCTTCCAGGGTGGCATTTCTTCAGTTACAGCAGCACTGGTATCAGCCACAGTAGGATCATCTTCATCAGACCAAGCTGGATGACCCTGTAGATCCTGTTGGCGTGTGTCTGGGGATCTTCCAGACTGAAGCCAGGAGACCAGATCCTTCACAGATTTGTCGTTCTTGCCTTTTGCCAGAGGGTTTTGATAAAGGAGTGATCAGGGTTTATCTCCAGGTGCTTCTTTGAGGCCAAGTAACCCATCATTGAGCTGTCTCTGAGGGCCTGAGCTTGCATGATTCTTTCCATGTTTGCTGTCCACCCATATGTGCTTGTGACAATACAGCATGGGGATGTCACCAATTGGTTTGATACAACCACCTTTTCAACCTTTTTCTCCAAAATATCTTTCATAATTTTGCAGAGGTTTTCAAATTTTCTCTTTTTTTCTTCCTGCTTCTTTTTCTCCTCTTCATCTTCTGGAAGCTCCAGTCCTTCTTTGGTAACTGACACCAAGGTCTTGCCTTCAAATTCCTTCAGCTGTTGCACACAGTATTCATCAATAGGCTCAGTCATATAGATTACTTCTCAGCCATGCTTTTGGAGGCGGTCCACAAAGGCCAAATTAGCAACTTGGTCCTTGGTCTCACCTGTAATAAAGTAGATGTGCTTCTAGTTTTCCCTCATTCTGGTGCAATAATCTTTGAGAGAAACCATCTCATCTCCAGAAGCAGATGTGTAGTATCGCAACAGCTCAGAAAGCTTCTTCTGATTTTGAGAGTCTTCATGAATTCCAAGCTTTATATTTTTTGAGAACTGCTCACAAAACTTTTTGTAGTTCTCTTTATCTTCTGCCAGCTCGGTGAATAGCTCTAAGCATTTCTTGACCAAATTCTTTTCTGATAACTCAAATTTTTGCTTTGCTGCAACAT